GTTTGCCAAAACTGGATTTAAAAATGGAAACATCTACAAATCATGTAATGGTAATGTTACTGCTACGCTGTATAAATCTACCCAAACAATCCATATTCAAGGAAGTGAAAGACTCATTTGGCTTAGAGATTTCCTAAATCAAGTAAACCATCTACCAATAACTGAAGTCAGTAAAATCGAAGGAATAGGAATGCCAGATCCACAAAATATGTCTACACCTAAACATTGAAAATCTCAAGAAACGGAAGCTCGGCCATGTCTTAACTGCAATAGTTTTGATGTTATTCAAAAACTAACAAAGACTGTGTCTGATCTCTCCGACGAAGTTGCTAGACTTAAGCTAGACTTAAGCTGGAGCTGCAATCTCTACAGATTAAAAGTACAAATTCTGTAGCCGCAATTACCCAAACAAGGGAACCGGTTACAAAAGCTAAGGCGATTGACACAAGGGACCTAAAGGATTCCAAATTACAAGGTCTAACGAGACACACTCAGTGTTCTAAAGTGGAGACAAAAGATTCTTCAACATCCCCAGAAACTGATCAGAGTAGCCAAATAATTCACACTAAACCCAGCAAGAACCAACAATTGGAGTCAGACGTTCCATCTGGAAAGTCAGTGTTGATAATTGGTGATAATATCCTCCAGCGAATTAGAACCCGTGGATTATTGAGGCATGTTGCTGTCCAAACAAACAGAGGGGCTCGGCTGTCAGACATCAGGAGAATTCTCCAGGAAACTGACCTATCGTCCTTCGGGTCAATAATCCTACTTGCCGGGGGTAATGATGCTGCCAAAGACAGGGAATTGGAGACCAGTGAATGTCATCTCACGGAAATTGTGCTCGAAATCCAGAGGAGGTCCCCAAATACCGAAATATTCATATCGGAGATATCACCACGACGAGATGCAGATGTTACCCACATGAATGAAATGATAAGATTTGTCTGTGAGGAATACAGTGTCAGCATGATTTCTCTACAAGATAAGTTCAAGTCATCAGGTATGTTTGGAAGGATGGGATTCATTTATCCTACAGGGGAACATCTACACTACTGAAATCCTATAATACGCACATTCCGGTCATCAAAGCCCGCCATCAGAATGATACACAAAATGCGACTGTTAATGTGAATATGTGTTATTTTTGCGGTGAAAATGGTCATTCCTCACGAATTGTAGACATGGATGTAAAATTGTTTGCTGGAAATGCAATTCTTCCGGACATTAGACAAAACACTGTTCCTATAAGGAATTCGGCAAAGAGGAAATTGCCAAAAAACCATTCCTCTTGAAATTAAAACCCCTTTAGTGTTTTGGTTAATCGTTGTGGTGAATGTGGTGAAATATCATGCAAATGATCATATCTCAGTAATTCACACAATACTAATATATTACTCAGATCAGGTCATGATAAAGATTTTAAATCCTATACAAATTCTAATAATGAAAATGATGTAAATTGTTCTTTTAAAAATGCATCTCCAAGGGAAATTCATAAATGTACATCCCAAACTACAATTTCATCGAAGAAAAATTCTAACTTACTAAATCCTGAAATCAATGAGAAACCACAGAAGAAAAATTCTAATTCAAATTCATTTAATTTTGGACTCATCAAAAAACGCCTTAGATTTTGGAATCTAAAAATATGTCACATCTCGCCTAAAATTGACCAGCTTAAGCTTCTTTTATCAGGTTTTCATTCTATTGATGTATTTGGTATATGTGAAACTTTTTTAAAAGAACAGACAGATAGTTGTGAATTAGATATCGATGGATTTAATTTTGAGAGAAGAGATAGATTAGGGAAATCGGGAGGAGGAATAATTGTATATATCTCAAATAATTTGTATTACAAACGTCGCAATGATTTTGAAATAGGTGGCATAGAAACAATATGGCTCGAAATTAACATCCCAAATTCAAAACCAATTTTTTATTGTACTGCATATAGGCCCCCATCTGCCACCACCTGCTAGGTAGAAAGTCTAACACGGGAGATAAATTGTGCATCCCGCTGTGACGATGCTGAAATTATTGTAACAGGTGATTTTAATATTGACCTGATGAAAGACACCCCCACCCCACCCCAAGATACTGGACCTCTGCTTGTGAAGAATACGACTTCTCACAGATAATTAATGTACCCACGCGAATAACAAATGTCACCTCAACCCTAATAGTTCATGTATATACATGTACTAACCTACCTGAGAAAATATGTGAATCTGTAGTTCCGCCGATTGCAATCTCTGACCACTATCCTATTTGTTTTACAAGAAAATTACATGATTATGTAAAGAAGCATAAACACACGGAGATAACATGCAGAGACTTCAAACATTTTAATGAAATAACCTTTCTCTCAGACTTGGAAAAAGTTAATTTTCAATCCTTATATTCTCTCTCTAATCCTAATGATGCATTAAATAAATTTTATTCGCTTTTTAATGATGTACTAGACAAACATGCAAAAATAAAATCTAAAGGAGTGAAGTATGATGCAAGACCAAAATGGTTAAAACAAGAAATTCTTGAAGCACAGCACAAGTGCAATAATTTTCATAAAATTAAGGACTTTGAAAACTACAGATTACGGCGAAATAAAGTAACGTCATTAATTGAAAATGCAAAAATTAATTATTATAAATCAACCGTATAGCAAAGCAGAAATCTACCCCAGATGTGGGATGCATTAAACAAACTAGCTTCTACCCCAAAAAATTATAGTCCGACGGCACTTGAACAAAATAATAATGTAACTGAGGATACACAAGAAATTGCAGAGATATTTAATTCTCATTTGATTCTCATTTCTCAAATGTCTCTGCTTAACTCCTTGAAGGAGTAAATAAAGAAGAGTGTGATTTCGATGGCCTATTAAATTTTGTGTAGTTTAAATTGGGAACAGAAATGTTTTATATCCCGCTTATTAGCCCTGATGAAGTGCTTTCCTTACTAAACAAACTAGATATTAATAAATCATTAGGTACGTAGATACCATCGATCCACGTTTATTAAAACTTACTGTACAAATTATACATAAACCTGTAACCCATATAATAAATACTAGTATTACATCAGGTGTTTTCCCGAAAAGTTTTAAACTTGCCAAAGTTACACCTATCTATAAAAAGGGAAACAAGCTAGGTCCAAATAACTACAGACCCATTTCTATATTACGGACATTATCAAAAATTATAGAAAAAACATGTGGCAAAATATGTATGATTACTATTTTGATCTTTTAATAGAATCTCATTCAGGTTTCAGAGAATTGCACTCATGTCAAACAGCCCTTACAAACATTACAGATAAATGGTTAAATGAAATGGACCAAGTCAAACTTACTGGTACTGTCTTTCTCGACTTCAGTAAGGCTTTTGACTTAGTAAATCATGAAATTCTTTTTAAAAAGCTAGAGTGTTATAATTTTAATGAAATAACTTTACACTGGCTTCGATCATATTTAAGTGACAGACTTCAAAGTGTCCATCTGTCTAACAAAAAAATCATCTTATCAGCAGTCACAGCGAGAGTTCCCATGGGTCTATACTAGGACCTCCTTTGTTTTTACTGTACATTAATGATCTTCCACTTTTATATAAAAAATTCAAACATACATTTGTTTGCCGATGATGCCACTTTACATGTCCCCGGCAAAGATCTCCAATCTAAAGTAAATTCATTATCAATGGATATTGCTTGTATAGAAAAATGGTACCATTGTGTTTTGTTTCTATATTTGCAATTTCAGCCAAAGTATATGTTTGTCATCGAAAATGAAGATTCAACAATGTATTTTATGTATAAACTTTATGAAATAAATAGGTTTTAGAAAAAACTTATGGTTAAAAATAATATAGGACCATTTTATCAACATTTTACATAGGAAATGCATTGAGAATTGTAAAAACATTGATTTGACAAATTTTTTTAAGGAAGGCTGGCTTGATGGGTAAAAAGGACCTAAATTGAACATGTTTGATACCATTTAACCTGTACAAAAGTTCTTGAAAAATTCTATACAAAATCCAGAAACGTTGCCAATGTCCTTAATGCCTCAAAAACTAAATGCATGTTAATAGGGACACATCAGAAGATATCAAAATTCTTAGACCATGATTTTCCTTTATACGTTTCGAAGAAGAAATCAGACAATGTAACATATGAAAAAATTCTTGGGGTATATTTAGATAATTCTTTACAATACAATGTACATATCGACCATGTGTATAAAACTCTGTCACGTAAAATATCTGCACTCCGTAGAATTAAAAAATATCTTCCCCTTCAAACACGCAAGTTTTTTTATAACGCATACATCATGCCTAAAATTGATTACTGCCTAACAGTTTGAGGAAAAACATCCAGATCAAATCTTGACAGAGTTCATAAACTTCAAAAACGTGCTGCAAGGTATATTTTAAATGCCCCCCCCCCCCCCCGATGCACCCTCACGACCCCTTTTTGATGAACTTGATTGGCTTACTGTTTGTTTGAACAGCTTACTGTAAATAAATATGTATTGTTATATATATCCCTCTTTAATTATTGTCCTACTTATTTACATGAAAAATTAATTACCAATCTACTCTTCGATCTGAATCCAATGTAGATTTTTTTGTGCCAATTCGTAAATGTTAACTTTTTGAAAATTCATTCCTTCCAGTACTCTGGTGCCATTTTATGGAATGCTTTACCAGTGCACATAAAAATGTCACCAACTCTTAATACTTTCAAGAGACAAGTAAAACAATGTGTAAAACAATGTAAGATTAATTTGTGATTCATGTTTATTTGTATTTGTATATTTATGTATATATTTATAATATGTCTGTATGTGTATAACTATGTATCTTTATATTGTAATTTGTCAGAAGGCCCAGGGGAAGAATAGTGGTTGCACTAATCAGGTTACCTTCTTCAAATAAAGCATTATTATTATTATTATTATTATTATTATTATTATTATTATTATTATTATTATATTTAAGAATCTACAATTCTAGAAAAAAGTGAGTATATTATGCCTATTCAAAATTTAGTTAGCATTGGTTGCATGTTAAAGCCTACGACTTTTGGGACAACCGTGGTATACCATATATACTGAAGATCACTGTATTTTTGCAAAACCTTGTTTTCGCGAACTAGACAATGTCACTCTATTATCAAGATATTTTCATGAATTGTTGTTCCTCTGTTATATTATCTAATGCAATATTATTTATATACATGCGAATGCTATTTTTAGCTATTGCTATCCGTTTTCGTCCGTCGTCGTGCGTCGTGTGTTAACATTTGAACATTTTCAGCTTCTGTTCTAAAACCACTGAACCAATTTCAACCAAATTTGGCATACAGCATCTTGGAGTGAAGGGGAACAAAAACTGTGAATTCCATGGTCCCTGCCCCCCTGGAGCCTTATGTGTGGGGCCAAAACCACTAAAATTAATGAAATCTTTAAAAATCTTCTTCTTTACTCCTGGACATCAAGCAGTCAAACTGTTGTCATCAATGTATCAAGCATTGAGTCCTCTACCAAATTTGTGAAATTCGTGGCCCAGGGTCAAGTGTTCTAGTGCTAGGGTGGGGTCAATTGATTATATAGTGAAAATGCATAATGTCTTTGAAAATATTCCTCTCTGCTCCTTGGTATCAAATAAACAAACTAAGTACATAGTTATGATGAGGAAGAGTGCCTCTTTCAGATTTGTGAATTTTATGGCCCCAGGGTCAGGGGTTCTGGTGTTAGGGCGGGGCTCTATTAATTATATAGTGAAAATGCATAAATTCTTTGAAAATCTTCTTCTCTACTCATGGGTATCAAACAAACAAATGAAGTACAAAGTTATGATAAGCAAGAGTACCTCTTTCAGATTTGTGAATTTTATTGTCCCAGTGGCAGGGATTCCGGTGTTAAGGCGGGGCTCTATTGATTATATAGTGAAAATGCATTGATTCTTTGAAATTATTTTTATGCTCCTGGGTATTGAATAAACTAACAACGTACATTGTTATGATTAGCAAGAGTGTCTCTTTCAAAATCGTGAATTTCCTGGCCCCAGGGGCAGGGGTTCTAGTGTCAGATTGGGCTCTATCAATTGTATAGTAAAAATGCATTTATTCTTTGAAAATCTTATTCTCTGTTCCTGTGTATTGAATAAACTAACTAAGTACATTGGTATGATGAGCAAGAGTGCCTCTTTTTCAAATTCTGAATGTTATTGCCCCAGGGTCAGGGGTTCTGGTGTTTGGGCAGGGCTCTTTTGATTATATTGGAAAAATGCATTAATTCTTTGAAAGTCTTCTTCTCTGCTCCTCGGAATCAAATAAACTAACTAAGTACATTGTTATGATGACCAAGAGTGCCTCTTTCAAAATTTTGAATTCTATTGCCCCAGGGTCAGGGGTTCTGGTTTTAAGGCGGGGCTCTATTGGTTATATTGTGAAAATGCATTTATTATTTAAAAATCTTCTTCTCTGCTTCTGGGTATCAATTAAATAAAGTACATAGTTATGATGAGCAAAAATTGCACCTCAACCAAATTTGTGGTTTTTAATGTCCCCTGTATCAGGGGTTCTGCCATATCCTTTAGGGGGGAAGTGCTCTTTTGATTATATAGTGAAAATGCATTAATTCTTTGAAAATATTTCCCTTTGCTACAGGATATTAAATTATGCCAATTATCTAAGTTTTTATATATTTATGATGAAAAAAGGTGCAATTAGCAATACGATGAATTTTATGCCCCATGGGTCAGGGGTAGGGGGGGGGGGTACTTAGTCTGAAAATAAATTAATGCTTTGAAATCTTCTTTTTGGTATTAATCAACCATTTATGATAAAATGAAATTTATGATTAAATGTTACAAAATTTTGAAACAAATGGCACCAGGGTTAGTGGTTACTTTGGGATGAGGTGCAAAACTGGTTATAAAGTTGAAGCGTATTTTCTCTTTGTTACTCTGATCTACTTCTGGGTATTAAGTAAGTAGAGTAAGCATGCTAAATGTATAATTATGATAAGCAATACTGCCTCTTTCTAAATAATGAATTTCATGAACTCTGGTTTAAAACAAGAAATAAATTCAATTGTCAAAAGTTTTTACATGATCCTAAGGTAACCTATAAGGCACGTGGGCCTCTTGTATTGAGTACACTCTCCCGGGTCATTATCTATCGCGAATATAAAGAAATTTACAGTATGCACATCGCAACTCCTTGATACAATTGACTTTGCTAGAATTCCATTTCGATTTTTACAAATTGATTGTTTTTAATTCATACTCAAAAGATGAAATGTTTCGTTATAGACCGGAAATATGCTTTCTTTCAGTTGCACTGATAAGCTAGTAGTTTCTGAATCAATTTTACGTTGGACCAGTCTCTCTGAGATGTGTTTCGTATGAGATATATTTTTTCTTAGCCAAATGTGGAGAAAATAATTATTTTTATTAGATTGTACGCGGTCTCACAAATCATCAGGATACAATCTTTAGAACAATATTATCAAATTCTCGTATTTAATGGAGATGAATAGTAAAGGTCACATGACACTCTTCTAAGACACCGACAAGGTCTCAATCTTCTCAAAAATCGCTTGGACAGGAAAGATGATACTTATGTGGAAACATCCTCAAGCAGTTTTGATTCAAGCTTTTTCAATGATGACCTTCGCGGTAGGGGGAATCACAGTTGACCACAATTGACGATCAAAGTTTTACATATGAATCTATAGGAAAAAAATGTTTTAACATCTTCTCAAAAACCCTTTGGGCCAGGAGAGATGAAGCTTATGTAAAACATCCTTAGGTATATTATATTCAATTTTGTTCAAATCATGACCCCATGGGTAGGGCGCGGCCATCATCGACCATCAAAGTTTTACAGAGGAATATATAGGAAAAATCTTGAAAGATCTTTTCTCTAGAAAAGCAAAGCCATGATAAGTCACATTAATATAAAAGTATCCTCACGTAGAGTCGATACAAGACTGTTCTATTCATGACCCCTGGGAAAAGGGTTTAGGACACAACGGACAGTCAAATTTTTACATAGGTGTATATAGGCAAAATCTTTTGAAATCTTCTGATGAGAAACATAAAAGTCATGATTGGTCATATTTATATTCTGGAAATGTAGATTCAAGATTGCACAAATCATGACCCCCTCCGTGGGTAAGGTTGGACCACAATGGGGGATCAACGTTTTACATAGGAATATATAGGAAGACATCAATAAAAATCATCTTCATGAGAACAGCAAAGTCATGGTTAGTAGTATTTATATGGAAGTATCCTCAAGTAGAGTAGATTCAAATTTATTCAATGCATGACCACTAGGGTTAGGGCAGGGCTACAAAGGGTGATCAAAGTTTTATATAGGAAAGATCTTCTCATCATGCTCTAGAACAGCAAAGTCATGATTAGTTAAGTTTTTATTGTGTATATGCAGATTTATTAATGACCCTAAGGGGAGGGGGGATAGGGGGACCAAAGTTCAAACTTATATGGAAAAATCAGTTATAGTAATAAAAATGTAATCATCCTTAGTTAGTGTAATTTCAAGTTAACGTAGATTTAAATTGCTAAAATCATACCCCCTTTTAGGGTCAGGACAACTTATGCATTTACTGAATTGATTTTTGCTTGTTCCTAGCCACAGTACTCAGGTGAACGATCTGGCCCAAAAGCCTCTTATTTTTCTTTTGAGCTTTTCTTTCATTTCTGATCTATTGAGCAACTTCTTTTCTTTGGACCATTCGACCTGGAAATATTCATTCTTTGTTTTTCATTTTCGATTCGCAATACAATATTTTTTTTAAACGACAAGCACGTTGTTTAACTTTTAGGGGTGTCCACTTGAATAAGTGACGAATGATGACTCTTGTATGAATACCCCCTTGTATACATGTACATGTACATAAATCCATCTCCCTCATGCTATAAGATAGCTTTTTACTCCATTCTTTGTCACAAGTCAAATTATTTGCAATGCTGTTTTAATCTAGGCGATAACCATGGCGTTCAAATTTGATGTGTCTGTTTAATAATGGGTTATACACCCCGGATAATTTCCTCAAGGGAAACAAATTTTATGGCGCTTTAAACATCAATTGGATTTAAAATGGACTTGCTACCTGGAATTTCGCTTTTGAAGCTTTTAACCTCAGAACGCTTTTATTAATGTTCTTTTGGCTGAGATAGGTCAAGCCATGATGGCGGTTGGATGACAAATAAAAAGTGTGAGGACGATACTTGTTTTATTTATACTTTTGTTGCATATGTACAATCAGCGTTTAAAACATTCCAGTACTCAAACTGTATTGGTTGGAGTCTGTTGACTCAGGTCAACAAAGAGAGAAGCAATGATAGCTTTTTGTTAAGTTCGTTTCAAATGAGGTAGGGTTTCTTCAAACACACTTATTAGAAATTTTCTCTGGGGTTAAAAACAAGACTAAATAATGAGCATTAAAGTATGGAGCGATGCTGTGCTGTGTGATCTAACAAAATAAAATAACAGGAGTTAAGTGATGAGAGGTTTTTCCAGTGTTACACAGTTCGTACAAGTATACATGTATATGGGGCCAATTGGTTTTACAAAGAGCTTCTACAGGTTTATCAAGGCCAATGAGGCCAAAGCTGCAACCAGTTGACCCGGCTCTCCAGGCTTCCTATACAACCATGATTGTGAATAATATATTTTACGGGAACGAATGTGAGATCATCCTCGAGAACAAACATTTATCAATCCTTTATTTGTATGATAATGGTATAGACATTTATTTTCTTTAATAGAAATACAGAAGCTTAAGCTTGTTGGAGAAAGTTTAGATGTCAGCGAAGACACTATCTCAGAGAATACCCAAATCTCAGATTTCTTTCCAATATGGAGGTCAACTACAAATACCTTGGAGATACCGTGTATAGTAATACAGACAGAGACACCATGGAACTCATGTGGAAGTATGTTGATAAGGATTAACATTTATAAAAAATAATTTATAAGTTTATGTTTTTTTCCACAATATGAGACTTTGCCATTAAGCAGGGGTTATAAAGAAGCATACAAAATATTCCACATTGACTAAACCAGTGCTACATTATGACGTCATAGTAGGCGAGATTACGTCAATGTTAGAACAAAGTTTTCGTAACATTGGTATTTAGAGATGTAATTAAACTCTAGAAAATAATACAAACGTGTGAACATTAACAAAAATGAATGTTTTTATTTTGCTGTATCTGTCATTTTGATTAAAATCAAGCACCGATGACGTCATACGTGTATATAAAGTAACTTGGGAATTGAATTGATCATGTCATTCGTGACAGAAATAAAGCAACAGAATAACAATAAGCTGGATATTTCAAAACTTAATATTTGTACAGATTGAAAGATTGCCTTCTAAAATACCACGAAAGTGCTGCTAGAATCCCGAGTTAAGCATGGTTTTACGAAAAATCTCGGTTCAAATGTATAAATTTCAATATATTTGGTAAGGCTTCGTGCGAACGTGATGCCAGCGTGGTGGTGGTGCACGTCTTTGCGATAGACACTCTTTTATCTTAATGCAATAGATAATAAAGTTGACGTTTATCAGCGGTTGTGGTAAATTATCAAACTTAATTTTATTTAAAAAGTCTAAATTTCCCGAGAAATGACTTATATGCTTCCTTAACATACCCGCGTACCTAAAAGATAATAGAAAGATTAATAAATGGCAGAGGTCTGCCATTTTTCATCTTTGCAGACTTTTAGTGACCATACAAATGACTGAATGGCAGAGTTCCATCTAGTGTAAACAGGTATTTATAAATCGTCATTTTAGTGCTTTGATCTGTTTCAGAGAAACTTCAGGATCCTAACAGAAAATCCAGACTCTTTTTTTTCTTAAAATGCGCAGCTTTAATTAGCAGAAATTTTTCAGTTTCATTGCCGAAAGATCGAAAAGTGTTAAGTACAGTTGAAAAATTCCTAGGTGAGATATTTCATGATATGGAAAAATATAGGAAAGTTGCTGGAAACTTACAAGATTCTTCTTCCTACGATTCATCACCCAACTATTTTACATTACGCTCTGACGAAGTAAAGCTCGAGACACTGTGGATATTGTTTACCAGATGTCGATCTCCAATCGAAGTCTTGAAATACATATTTGATCAGAGATTAACCACACTCACGTTGAGATTCTTCAGACTAGAAGGATATAGCCAACATTCAAATGAAACTTACATATCATTACCACGCTCAGTTACACAAATGTACTTAGAAAGTTTGATTGATGAGAAATTCGGAAATGCAGAAACGCATTGGAAGTCAATTGGTAAATATGTCTTATTCAAAGAAAACTTTTTCTGCACAAATAAATTATACTTCAAACTTCCTACATTTAACAACAGTTTACAATAATGTCCGATCTGTTTTTTTTTTCAGTTGCATTTGACCAAAGGACTTGTACAGACTATGAATGTGTCATTCACTATGCACTTCTAACTGATCTTCCTGCGTTTGACATCATTTTGAAATATTTTCGAACGTGTGGTTATGCCAAGAAAGAGGGGGAAAAATGCATTATTGTTCCCGCTGAGTACAATGAGAAAGTCATAGAGAAGATGGGTGTAGATATTATTACTCATAAAACAATCGAAGATTGCACCATCCATAAAGCTGTCATAAAACAATGTGAGTATAGACTTGAAGTCGAGAATTCTTCATATAAAGAAAGCATGCATTATCACAACCTTTCTGTTGTAAATTTAATACTTATTTCTTGTATTAGCCATTTTGAAATTCGTAGATCTCTTTTCTGATTAACTATTCATGACAAGTTCAAGTGACTCTGAGACAGTGGATCTGTTTATATTATCTAAGGCATTCCTTAGTTTTGAAAGAAAGAATAAATATCAAAATAAAAGGAGAAAACAACAATTAAAAAAAATTATTTAAAATGAAATATGAATGCACGAGATGCAATTTTGCAAATTATCTTAAGTATTCATTTATTGACTTTTAATGAAGAACTAGCAAATAGTTTTCTTTAGTTTTTTCATCGAAGATCTGCATAAATTTTCTTTACATTATCATGAATAAAATCCATTTTCTTCTAATACGCAAAAGTACTAACCTCGTTTTTTTCGAAATTGTAGAATTACCAAAATACAACGACATTGCAATTATTTATATTAAGAAACAATACATTTGAAACATACAAATCAAAGTAAATACAGAAAATGCAGAAAGGAAAATACATCAAACGTGACCTTCTAGATTAAGACGCTAAAGTGGCTGGGTAGTTGTGACGATTTTTAGACTATTTTGATCTCTTTTAGAAGAAGAGATCCATATAAAGATATAATAAAATGATCAAACTTTAAAACTAAAATTTAGGAAATTTTTTATTGTCTAATGACAGTTGGCAGCTTAAGATATCATATTTCAAAATTTAAGTAATTACTCTGTATCTGGTGGTTTATCAAAAAAAATTATTTGTTTACCCCCTAGCCTCCTTAGAGTAAATAGGGATCTTCTTATTTAAAGTTCAAAACAAATCAAATATTGTCAGCTGAAAAATATGCAATACGATGCAATAAAAATTTTTGCGTTAGATTATATTGAAAACAAGATCCACGTACTGTGAATAATTCGCCTTAACAATTCCAATAAGAAATATTGAATAAAAAGAACTAGGGAAGCTTTCGAACTCATTTTTCAAAATAATAATTAATACATCATTTAGTTAAAAAAATATAATTGCAAACAAAAATACCGTCAAATTGTGTAAAATTTAAGTAAACTATGTATGATCGGATTGATACGTTTTTGGCGTAAAACAAATTGTGTCAAAGGCAACAAACACTGTAGGAAAGCGGCTGACCGTAGTATATACTACGGTCATCAAAATATGTCGGTCGAGGTCACTGGTTAGAATTTTTCAGTCAAGATTTTAAACATTTGCCAGGTTATCTGTGTTAATTCTTGCAAAAATTAAATGTACGCTAATGAGAACTTGCTATTGGTTATTATAACTTACTTGAATTTAAAGAAATAAAGCTGTAGGACGACCTCAAAGTTTTTGACATTGATGACCGTAACAAAATATTAAGATGACCGTACTATGGATTTTTTCCAATGAAGTAGGATGACCGCAATATATATAAATATAATTTAATGTGTTTTCTTTTCTGTTGTAGAGACAGACATATTATGTTATTTTTGTGTTAAAAAAGACAAAGATTTTTATGTAATTTTGAACCATAGCTATGGCACGCCAAATTTACATAAATAAGATAAACATAGTTTCACAGTCGATAAACTGGGTTTATCGCGTGTAAACTATAGTTAAAAGCGTTAATCTATACATGTATTTTACATCTGTAAATCATAATTAACGCGATTATCTATGTTTTACAACCGTAAACTATACTTAACACCGAAAACAATCATTTGCAAAACATAGATTATCTGATCAATACAGTTTCACTATTTGTAAACCATAGTTTACAATTCTTAACTACATGTATATAGTTAACGATCTGATAAATATAGTTTCACGATTTCACTATGATTAACAATTCTTACCTATAGTTTAGGATTGTAAATTATAGTTTACAAACGTGAATCTATATTCATCAACAAAATCTAATGTAAACGCTTTATTAAAAACAGAAAAACTTAGATTACCATGTCTACATGTATCCTATTAAATGACGCGATGCAACGCAAATCAAGTTATTGTTCTGTACAGGGACGTAGCAACCGGGGCGGGGGGGGGGGGGGGGTGGGGGGGGCAGGGGGGGCCTGCCCCCCCCTTTTTCCCAACATTACCTTTACTATAGAAAATGTTTATTGAAAGGATGGTTGCCCCCCCCCCCCACTTTTTACCATAGTATAGTGATATCAAGGAATTGTACGAAAAAACTGGGAGTGAAAGTAACTTGGCTTTGAAAAAGTTGGCCACTACCCCCACCCCCCGCCCACGAAATAGGATTTTCGAGTTTGGGCAACTTTTAATTCTCCGTTTTTTTTTTGTTTTTTTTTTTTTGCTTTTGTTTTCAGGTAAGTAAAAAAAAATTCTCTGGTTGCCCCCCCCCCCCCACTTTCAAAAACGATGCTACATGCCTGCTGTAACAGAATATTTGCATATGTAATTACACACAAATGTAATATATCTTAGAAATGAAAGCTATCTATACCCTACACGAATTCATGAAATATTCTCTAAGCATTTTATCTTCTATTGTTTTAGTAAGAATCCCAGAAGAAGTAATTGGGTGGAACGTTAAAAGAAAACAACGATTTATTCAAGAACTGAAGCATGGGAAAGCTCGAATTCACCGAGCTAGAGTAATAGTTGTTGGCTGTGCAGGAGCAGGTAAAACAACTTTGGTTGAAAGACTGAAACATCCAGACAGAGATGAGATGCCTACAACTACCACAACTATTGGTCTTGATGTTCACAAAAATGTGTTCCTAGTCGATGGCGGGAAACTAATGTTGATGGGTAAAACATGTTTACATAATTATCTATATTTGTGGTCGTATACTTTTGTCTTATTTCTTATGCTCTTAATTGTATAACCTTCAATTCTCTCTCTAAACAATAAACAAGAGAGGTATATGGTTAACCATAAAACTTTATTGTAATGCACTTCATTATATACTCTTCTTCTTGTTCAAAACCCCAACACTAACAAAAGACGCAAACGAAATAACATGTTGGAAACATAGATTAATTGAAAACCAACAGGAATATGCCCGAAAATTCTGGAAACATGACAATCTTACCCTGTAAGTGTTACTGACATTCTGATACTTCCTTTGAAACAATATGAGGGCTCTCATTATTTTCATTATTCAAATTATGAAAGTTGAAACTGAACAACCGATAGAATGATATATTCATCGACTCTTTCTAATCAAAATAGTGTTTAGTCGTTAAAAATGACTAAATTTAATGTTAAAAATGACTAAATTTAATGAAGAATGTAAAGTAGAATATTTCAGCTTTGACGACTTTATATTGAGCGGTTATATTTAGCTTACACGATTTTGCGCTCAAAAGCTTTGAAATTGAATTCGAAGGTTTCATTTATCCAAATGATTTTAATGGTTTTTGTTTTCAAAGAGGATATTCAAGGGGGCGCTCAAGTACAGAGATAGTGGCAGTTAATGCAATAAATCTTTAAACTTTATCTCAAACGAAGATCTGGTCATCAAATCATAAAACTAATAATAGGATTTGTTTCATTCATTATTTTTGTCAATTCAGACACCAAGATCCATTCTTACTTTTTCCGGTGTGTATTTTTTGCATAATTCATCTTTTTATATTTTTCCGTTTCTTTCTCCTTAAAGAACTAAAAATCTATTTTCCCACGTCAACAGGCTTAACTTTATAGATCGATTTACGCAGCATTGTTAAGGCTTGAATAAGGGGGAAAGGTCTAATTTATACGGGAAATGTTTACTGTGACGTCACACAAAATAGGTTCATGTAGATTTTGTATTCCTCATAATATTAGAAAACCAAATCAAACCATTATTGTTAGTACTACCATCGTCAAAGAAATCATTTCTTACCACAATAAAGAAATGGAAGAACTGTACAAGGAAAGAATAAAATATCTACAAGAAACTATAGATAAGCAAATATCCGACATAGAAAATCTGATAGCAGAAAACAATGAAATAAAAAAAAATTACAAATTCGGCACTAGCCAAATCAAACTTGAACGAACGGTACTCAAGAAAAAATAACATTAAAATATATGGAGTGAAAGAAATTAAAGGAGAAAATGTCTTGGGGGTCGCACAAGAAATTATTCAGGGAGACACAGGGGTGAAAGTTCCGGAGAGTGATATCATCGCTATTACATCGTATTCCAGGAAGACCGGGTTATCAACGGCCGCTTCTGATGAAAATGAGAAACAATACAGCAAAAACCCGGATTATGATCCATAGGTAAACCATGAAGAAAAACACGGATTCTTCGATTCGCCTCAGTGATTATGTGACCTACTTGAACAGCAAACTGATAAACAATCTACTCGAAAACCCCAAGATCAAGACTGCATGGTATTACAACGCGCACATTTATGGCCAAAAAGGGGAACGAAAGGGTGGTGTTTGACATCTTTGACGACATAGAAAAAATATTAAATCCTAAAGACGACCAGGAGTGAACGCTGTAATACTTACGCACGGGTTCTGAGATTACACAGCATAGACAAACAACCGGTATTGAGCTACTACTGGGAAAATTGAGCTACATGTACTACTGGGAAAATTTACTATGACAATTTCAGAAAAATCCTTAGCATCATTTCAAACTTCGTTCTAAGCTCTAACAAAAAATACTGAAAAATATATATGGTCCCATGGCGTTGATAGGTCAAAAATGCAGTTGTTTTCAACTTATAGAGATCCGCAGTAAATAACACGCTACATAAAAAATCAACCCTCACTCCTAAAATCTTCCCTGGTAATTCTGTAGTTTCTGTAATATTTCCTCATCCTATCATTTATTTCAAAGGTCATTAATTTTACTTTAAAATGAAAACAATATTAGATACCTGATTTCAGCCAATGGCGTAACGCCTACCCATTCAATATTCTGTTCAATGTTCCATCACAAACAAAGCCATGTTTCATCCGGGGATTTGGTGCTCTCATTCCTATACCCATGTACCTTACACAGGCGCCTGAACACTGTTATTACCTTGGAAATCTGTCTCGAAGCGGGGAACCCCCGTTTGTTTACAACTTTTGATTCTTACCTTGCACAAGACGAAAGACCACCTTTAAGCAATCGCTTAATGGTAGCTTAATGGTGACTTAATGGTGGCTTAAAGAAGTTAATTCCTTTAAGCCACCATTAAGTCACCATTAAGCTGCAACTTACAGGTGCTTAATGTCCAAACTTCATTAAGCTACCATTAAGCCACCATTAAGCTGAGCTTAATGGTGACTTAATGGTCAAATCTCATTTAACTTTTAAGCATCTTATATAGAATCTTTGAACTATTTTTTAGTTGTTTTAAAATCATTTACGCAAAATTTATACTGACTCATAATTTTTTCTCGATCGTAATTTCTACGAGTTTTTTGACAACATGCATAAACTTGAAAACACTGAGAACAACGTTAGCTAACAGCCACGGGGGCTTGCTTCCAGTGTCTAATTATTATTATTTTTTTAAATCATCTACAGTGATAATGAAATAAAACATCCTTTATCAGTGCCATATATTATTTAAAACAAAAATAATAAATCATTATTACATGCGGTGTTTTTATTTTTAGTGTATATATGATTTTTAAAAATAAACAATTATTACACACCGGGAGCAAGTCCTTGTGCAATATCTAAAATTTTCAATACCCAAAATCCATTTGTTCTTAAATTATCTTTATCCATGAACACAAAATACATTACTTTTTTTGTAAAAATGGTGTATATATTTCATATGTTAAAAGAAACATTCCACTACAGAATTCACGGGAATATAACTTTAAGTCAGATAATCTCGCTGTTTTTTTTTTTGGGGGGGGGGGGGTACTGGTATACAAATATTTAGTTTTCAAAGATTGAAGAAACAAAGAAACATTCCACTACAGAATTCACGGGAATATAACTTTAAGTCAGATAATCTCGCTGTTTTTTTTTTTTTTTTTTGGGGGGGGGGGGTGTACTGGTATACAAATGTTTAGTTTTCAAAGATTGACTTTTACCTGGGACCTATATAGGTCACTGCTTTTACATCATGAATAATTTTAATTAATACGTTATTTTTTTAATTTTTTTTTTTAGATACAACGGTAAGCATGCTAAGTATCTGTCAAAATCTAGATGGTCTTTTATTTCTTTTTTTTTAAATGCAGCGGTAATTATAAGTATCTGTCAAAATCAAGTCGGTCTTGGATGATTGTTACTTCAAAATCAAATTTCAGAAGAACAGCCGATCAGACTAAACATGACATCCGACGAGATTTATACACATTGAGAAACGGATAAGATTAACAGATTATCAGTGTACAGTACACCGACTGGTCAGACAATAGACCTTAATTAGGTGTCCCCCGTCCCCGGTTAACTAACAGGGAACTATACACACACAACGTACACTTAGAACTATATTTTGATGATCAATTATTTTTACAAAATTTAAATTTAACGCAAGCAATTAACAAATTAAAAATTATGATTCATCGTAAAAAGTCAATTATTTTGATACCCATTATGATACAGAAAGAATTGAAACTGAATATGATATTCTAAAAAAAGTTTTTGTAAACGTAATTAACCAGGTAACTCAAGATTACGCGAGGATTGACACTAAATTGTTGACACAGAAACCGTTTATAACCGCAGTACATGTATATATGTTTAAAAAAAACAGGAAAATCTGTTTTTCGTCTTTCTTTTTCGATGATAGATTTTTGCGTTTTATCTGTAATGAATTTATTTTCAATCATGATTTAAATGCTTACATGTATAAATTTTTCGAATAACACAGCGAAGAAATCCATCACATCACATCAATCTAAAATCCGAACTCAATGTAGATATATTAATGTGATAAAAGCCTTTCAAAAAGATCCACAAATAATATTGTTTTTATATTGATGAATTAATTCAAGATTGTTTGAAACGTTCAACAAAATACTACTAATTACTTTTCCTAGTCCAAAAAAAATTTGAAAAAAAATAAAGTTAAATATTGAATATTTTCCTCTACATGCTAGAGCGGCGATAGCCTAATGGATATGGCGTTCGCCTTGAAAACAGAAGTCATGGGATCGCGCCCCCACAGCGGCGATTTTTTTTTTTTTTGGAATTTTGAATTTCGTTCTTTTTACAATATTTTTACCAAATCAAGATATCTGCGAACTCTTCATTTATAATATTGATAACAAATCACTCCAAAAATAATTTTTCACCCATAAAAACAATATTATCGACGGTGTAATGTGAATTAATGGTGGCTTAATGGTGGCTTAATGGTAGCTTAATGGTAGCTTAATGGAGTTTGGACATTAAGCACCTGTAAGTCTACCTTAATGGTGGCTTAATGGTGACTTAATGGTGGTCTAAAAGTAACCATTAAGGACCTGTAAGCCACCATTAAGTAACCATTAAGCCACCATTAAGCTACCATTAAGTTAGAAATTTGGCTTAATGGTGGCTTAATGGTTACTTAATGGAAGCTCACTGGTGGCTTAAAGGTGCTTAATGGTGGCTTAATGGTGGTTTAAAGGCGGCCTTTAAGCTACCATTAAGCACCTATAAGCTACCATTAAGTCAAGCTTAATGGGAGCATTTCATCTTGTGTTGTGTATTTTTATTATACCGAATAGGACCATTCTTTAAAGCCGCTTAATCCGAAACAGGCACATATTATCTTACACAATAAAAGTATGTCATTACATAGATAATATATATAAACTAGAGCAAAGCTCGTTGCAAAGCAACGAGTAGGTCTTCCTTCCTGTTTTGACCG